AAGAAAATGTGATGAATAGATTAATTAACTAGTGTTGTTTTGTTAACCAATCATTAAAAGGCGGCTTAGCTTCTTAATAATGAGTTCGTCGTGTGAAAAGATGAGCTTTTGTCTACTTTAACGGGAGAATTTTCACCTAAGGGTGTCTCCAATGGTTAGCTATTTGGCTAGCTATTATGACGTGGACAGGGGAAAAGTAAGAGAGAGAGTAGTCACTAGCTACTAACAAATAGCTTATCTATTTCACGTAGCCCAATATTATGTGAGAGGAGTATGTGGGTCCAATAGTGTAAAATAGTTATTTTTCTTATCTCTCACATCCATGTCAGCTGACTATATAGCTAGTAATAGCTATTACCATTGGAGATGCCCTAACTATGTTATTCCCATTAGCCTTTAGATTTTACTACTAATACAACATTATTTTAGTAAGGGAAAATGCTACTATCCCGTTTCGGTACCATCTCGTCGGGTGTTTTAACCGTTGGATCCATATGTAGTTAGATAAGATAGATGATCCATCGGTTAAAACACCCGACGAGATGGTACCGTAACGGGACCGTAGCATTTTGTTTTAGTAAGTTTGGAACATCATAATTTACAACCAAAAAATCATACTTATACCATGACAAAACAACAAATTCTGCTAAAAAAAAATGAAAGAAAAGTTTGGCTTGACAAGGATTTGGTATTGCCTAAGTCAAATTTTCTTTGGATAATGACCTTATTAAGTTAAGAATCAGATTCGATGTTTACCTAAATTCTTACAGAGTTTAGTCAATTGAGTACAGAATGATAGAACGCCGAAGACAAACGTACTTCTAACAAAAGAAAGACGTGTTGTTGAAAATAATATAAAGTCTCTGATACAATTAACCCAATAGCGCTTGGATGAGATGACTTGAGTCTCTTCCAGCTTAACCAGTGGTCTCGTGTTCGAGTCCTGGGAATGCAGCAGTGTTAAAACTCTTAAGGGAGAGCTTTGCCGCCCTTGTGGTCCTACCCGGCTCGATTCCGGATTAGTCGGTTCCCCTGTGGATCCGGAAATCGGAAGGTCCATGTACCAAAAAAAAAAAAGTCTCTAATACAATCAAAACAAAACATTATAAGTGCATATAAAGGAATCTATTGTGTCGTAAAAAGGAATCTCTACTAATGAGATTTTTTAATTAAGAATGTGAGTTGTTATTGAGACACAATATTAGCTAGAAACAAAAAAAGTACAATATTAAAACACGAATTAGTAAAGTTGTTATTCAAATCAACCAATTGGCAAGCATCTCGACACGACTAGACTCATTTATTTTGAGAAGCGAGCCGTGTTTGTGTTCGTGTAATGCTCGTTTAGTTAGGCAAATGAGCTAAATTAGACTCGGCTCGACTTGCTAAACACTAGTCAAGCTCGATAATTATAAAACTTCAAGTTATTTAATAGTAATATGATATTAATCCTCAGACACAAATGCACCGGAAAACGAAAAAAATCAGATTTTCGAGCTGAAGCTGAAGTTGAAGAGCTCGCGTCATGACTTGAATAATTTGTCCAGCCGGTTCGACACAAGCTCGATCCATGCTCGGATTTGAAGTACTTGGATGAGGATCAGCCTGAATAAAGACTCTAATCCTAATCGCTCATTGATTCGCCTAATAATAAAATGACGAACATTAAAATAGAAACCTGTGCAAAACAACACATGTATCGAAGGATTTTACAGTTCACAGAGATGTTTAAACTCTTTACGAAAAGCTATGTACAATGGGAAAAGGAAGTTCGCGTAATGTCGACAAACGAATCCAGGCCGTAAATCATCAACATAAATTATAAAAAAAAAAAAAAAAAAAACTCCGAACCAGAAAAACTCATATGGAACGAGCCACTCTTTTCCATTGATCGGCACTTTCCACATATTACACGAAGGCAGTGTGTGAATTGAGACCCAGTAAAAACACGGTATCTCAGTTTTATACGGGACCCACAGTTTGGATCGGGAGAGTTCAGTGCCGATAGGTCCTCACGACTTGATCAATCCTTCTTCGGCATAATGGGCAGTCGGTCAAGTGAGACGAGCAAACCATACAGCAACACATATGACCACACCTGAGAATAGAACAACCGATATTTTTCCACTAATCAATCCAATTCCTGCACCTCATTAACGCTATATTTGGTAAAACTAGCTGATAAGCAAGCTAATGGATGATAAGTGATTTTTGAGCTTATAGCTTATGGCTTATAGCTGAAAGCCTAGCTTATATGATAAAAGTGTTTGGTAAAATTAGCTGATAAGCTAGCTGAAATAAAAATTTCAACGAGCTTATTTGAAAAGCTACCTAAAGAATAAGTTCGAGCTTTTTCTACCAAACGGAGCTTATTTGAATACACTTTGCCTAACATAGCCTAACACTTTGCCTAAAAATAAAGCAATATGCTCCACAAAATTAAAACGAGGCCTTACGGGACGAAAACTGAATTGTACTCTTGCTCCAAACATATCACACATAAATCAGGCATCTTCCGATCTTTACTGGTACTATCTGGTCCACTCTCAGCTTTGTCGTCTGGACCTGCAAATCATGAGGAAATAAATAATAAGATGGATTGATTACTAAAACAATGAACAGATCAAAGGTTAAAGTAAAATATGTAAAGAATCATTTAAGCAAATCCGATTACCTTCTTCGTCTTGCCCAACTCTTTTAGCAGCTGCAGCAGCAAGAACCCTAACAAACACCGATATTTAGAATATAAATAAATAAAAAAATAAAGATCCATAAAAAGAGGTCACCTCTTTCTAATTTCCCGGTAGCGCCTTCTCTCCATAATATAGTGGATGGCATGCTTGGCCAGCAAATAAAATCCAAGAACCGTAAACCCAAGCGAGGCATACTTGTACAATCTATGGAGTAAATATGTAATAAAAGTGAATTATTGTTTTTTAAGCTGAGTATACTAGCGGTTAAATCAGCATTCTGCATAGTTAAGGTTTCACACAGAAGTAGGAGTTTAACAAACCTTGACCATTTCCCAAGATTTGCAATAAGCTGATCGATAGTTTTGTCGGAGACATAAAACGGTCCTTTATGCGGTCGTTGGATTCGGATGGGACCAGTGCCATCTTTAACAGCCTGACTTCAGAAGAAACAAAAATCAACTTTCAAACAAATACAAACCCAAGAAAGTAAGATCTTCTCAAACATTAAGATGGATTTCTCGCGAGAAACCTAAAAAGTATCCGAAGAAAACAATGAAAAAGCGACATAAAATCCGTTACTAAAGTAAGTCTACACCAATTGATGAGTGTTGACAAAACAAAATTCGCAAACTTCTATTATAAGTAACATAAAATATTATATACAAGTGCATAGGCTGCAACCAACAATTTGTCAACTTCCTGTGCCAGCGTTCTAGCCATTTTCCATTGTTACGAGTATCTTTATTCAGTAATTCGATTTGTAATTCAATCCAACCCCCACTCCTCCCACCAGAGAAAAAAAGGAAAAAAAAAAAAAAATTAATAAACAGTTGAATGCAAAAATTGTGCCGTCAAAGGCATTATACCTCACCAACAACCGTCAATGATTTTCTAGTTGGAAGAACCCTTTCAGTTGTCTTGACTCCAAGCATCTACACCCAATAATAGATCGTTATTTGAAAATAAATAAAAACACCGGAGAACAAGAGAATAATATGCATATAACAGCCAAAACCTTTAGTCCTTGGAGGTAATCTAAGGTCCCACGCACTAGGGATCGGCCAGACTCTTCAAATACTTCACTTCCTACTGTTAGAACCAAGCCTGTGGCATCACGTGCTCCAACAACATGCACACGACCAGTACCATCATCCTGTAAAGAATGACGACTCGAATAATAACATACATTCCGTAATGAGAACTGTGTTTTAGAATTTGACTGTCACAAAATATGCATATGTGACCGAAAATTATGTAGCATTAAAGCTGAATCTTACAAGGTACCATGGGACTTCTTTGCACTTAGAGAGCATCAAAGCTGAATCTTGTATCCAAGATCCAGCATCATTGTGTTTCAGAAAGTACTGCTCAGACTGAGATGATTAAAGAAAAATGTTTTTTTTTAGAACACAATGGGATTCTTAGAGAATAATATAAAATACATTAATTTCGGACAAGATTTGGCCTTTTTACCGTTTGCTCCATAATTACGCCTTGTAGACTACTGTGTTCGCAACTAATTGGAGTATCTGAACCGACCTTCCCAGATACAACAACCAAAGGAAACATTTTGCTTGCAGCGTCCAATAATTGAGCTGACAAAAGCAGGATGCAGCAAAAGTTAATTGGGACGTGCTAAGACAACTTTCTGTAATGCTGAAATTCAGCAGAGTGAAAGGGCCAGAAGAAAGCTTCATCAATCAGCCATAAAAAGAAGTTGCAGGTACAACGAATACCATCTACTTACAACTCCTCACAGCCCGATAAATACAAAATAAAATCACAAATCGAAAGTAAAGAAACTGAAAAGTAAAATCGGCATAAATACGGGTCCTGCTTAAAATTGATAAAAATCTTCACTAGCAAACCAAGATATATAAGGAGATTCACAGAAAATGAACAATTAGAAAAATGTATACCAATAGGCAATAAGAGCGATTACCACAGGATTTCCTTCTTATTTTTCCCTCGAACCCGACAAATCAAAATAATTTCTTCAGGTAGTTTACTTAAATGCTTCATAAAGTCTTCAAACATTCAGCATTTTACTACTTTGATAGATCAAACTGATCATGAATATATGGAACAAGAAGCGGTGCAACGTTAAGGACAGAAATTGTGCAATGATGTATAAAATCCGAATAACGCAACTAAACGAATAACCAAATATAGCCAAAATAACACAGCTGAGAGAGAGCCTTCAATTGTGCAACAAAAGAACAAAAATTTGCAGAAATTAGCAAAATTCAACTTACGCAAGTCTTTCAACTGATTCACTCGAGTTACGGACTTCAAAGCTTCAGCATCCCTTTAATAATTAAAATAAAAAATCTATAACAAAGTACATTAAATCAAAAAAAAAAAAAAAATTGAAGGTAAAAAAATGGGCGACAAGATTAAATCAACCTTCCGCTGCTCCTGCCGAAAAGATAGAGCGCGGCGGCGCTCAGGCCGCATAGGATTCCACCAACTGGAACCATCTTCAATAGACTCACTTAAAGCACGAAATTCATGCGCGAAATTTCGATCCCTTTAGGATTTAAGCTCCCAATAGAGCAATTTACAGTGAATAGCTCTTACCTCATCTCTTGTTCTTATTTCTACTACTAGTGGAGTTTTTACTCTAGAAAGTGAAACAAAAATCAATTAAAACCTCTTAACTAGAGTAAAATGAAACAAAAATCGATTTTTTTTTGGGTTAATTGTTAAATAAACCATAACCTTTTTGCGTTTGGCAATTTTATCCCAATCTTTGGGTAATTGCAATATAATCTCGACTTCAATTTACTTATTGCAAATTTGGGTGCAGAGTGATTGATTTTGGGGATTTTGTTGATCGATTTTGTGTCCAAGTCTTCCATTGACATGTGTTTTTATGCCATCCACGTAGCACGTTGACAATTTCCACGTATTTAATGTATATCCACGCACAGCTAAAAATTCCACGTCAATGTAAGCTACCGGTGATGAGTATCCTCCTAAATTTGGAGTGAACCGGTAAATATGAGCTCCGATTTATTCGAACCGCCTTCAAATCGACCAGTTTTTTGAAGGTCCAATCAGTTTTAGATTTGACTTGCAATAAGTAAATTGAGGTCGAGATTATATTGCAATTACCCAAAGATTGGGATAAAATTGCCAAACGCAAAAATGTTAAGGTTTATTTAGCAATTAATCCTTTTTTTTTTGTCTCAACATATAATTTACAGTATAAAATATTGATTGCCATGTCAAAATTCAGGTGTCGGCCATGCCAACGTGCATTGGTCGGAATCTGCTTTCGAGATAAAATTGCAATACTTGATAAATGTTTGGTATTTTTTTTTTTCAAAGTTAAAAAAATTGAATTTTTTGTGAAATTAAACAAAAGTTGAGATTTTTTTTATGCAATTAACCTTTTTTTAAAGATGACATTTTTACAATAAAAGTATACATAGTTGTTAATTTAGAAATCAATGAAAAAATAAATTACAACGAAAACATAATCTATATATATATAATTGTTGACAAACTTCAATAAATTTTATTCAGTCAGCAATTAATAAAAATAAGACTTATTTAGTAATAATATTTATGACCAACATTCAAATGGCCGTTACAAAAAATAAAATCTTATTATTTTTAATTTTTTTATTATATAACAACTTTACAAGATTTTAAATTTTATGAATATACAGTATTAAATTATTTTATATTATAGTCATACAATAACAAAAAAAAAAATTATTTATATGAAAGTTAAATAATTTATATTTATATTATTCATTTACATATATCCAGAATTTTCAAATGTAATACACATATTATCTAATTTAAATTTTCGAATATCATATACAATTTGAAGTTCTACAGATCGCTCGCTTTGATTTCGGCAAAGCTATTCCTTCATTTGCTCACAGAGGTTTTGAGATTGAGAGTAACAAAGAACTCATATGCGCTTTTTAACACGAAAAAAAAAAGAGAAAAAAAATATATCACGTCTAACTCCATTGTTAATTAACAATGTTAATAATAAGCCTTAATTTGAGAATTAAAAGATAAATATGAGCCCTCAGCTCAAAAAACATAGAATTTGGGATATTGTAACGAGAAAGATAATAATTGGAGCTTTAACATGATAGAATACCCAAAAATTGAGCCCTCTAATGTAATTTTCCCCATATATAATATATAGATTTTTATGTTTCGTTCTGTGCATGTGCACATGATTGAATACTAGTAGTGTATTTATAACTAAAAGTATAATAAATGCACATATAAAAAGTTTTATAAATTAATTATCTGATTTAAAAAAAAAAAAAAACAGTATCCGGGTACAAACAACATGAGTATATGACCCATAAATTTGATACATTTTAAAGCCCATAGGAGTACAGGACCAAGCCCATGAATCACCCTCTCTGTACACGTCGTAAATTAAAGCCTTGAAAAGCCCTAAAGATTCTAAAACCCTGATAGGTTTCATAAACCTTGGTCCTCAGATCGCCTTCTTCTCCCCAGCTCCGTTCACTCTTCACTGTCACTATCTTCACACTGCTACTGCTAAAAATGGCGTCCGTGGCTGTCCGAAATCCTAACGCTAAACGCGTCTTAACTCTGTCGCCGAGAATTTGCTCGCCGTGCTGCCGTGGATCAGCCGTCTCCGCGCCGCCATCCGCCCTTGAATCTCCGATCCCTACGGTTCAGGCTCCGAACCCTTGGTGGAGATCCATGGCCACCTTCACTCGAACGTAAGGCGTATGCTCTAATCTGGTTGCACTTTTGATACCTAAAATATTTTTTTATTGTATTTGATTATTTGTCGAAGAGTGTCTTGTTGTTTGCATTTTCCTTACTGTTTCTTTTTTTCCCGTGACTTTGAAATTGAATTTGAAAGAAGATAAAGGTTTGATCTTGGACTGTTTTAGGTGGATAATATATGGAAAATATCTGGCATTAGGTTCTTTTGAATTAGTTTACTTGAATAGTTTTACTGATGTTTTGCTTGATTGCAGAAAACCCCACGTTAATGTGGGAACAATTGGACATGTTGATCATGGCAAGACCACCCTAACTGCAGCTATCACTAAGGTAGCGTTGGAAGTAACTAGTGTCTATCTATTGTTCTTTTTGCAATGTTTATTTGTCGGTATGTTGTTATTTCTTAATTTGAACCGTATTACCTCATATCTGTATCTTTGTATCTTTTAGGTGTTTGCCCATTGAAATTCATTTCTATGTTTGAAATTCATTTCTATGTTTGTATGAAGGTCTTAGCTGAAGAAGGTAAGGCAAAAGCTGTTGCCTTTGATGAAATTGATAAAGCACCTGAGGAGAAAAAGAGAGGGATTACAATTGCCACGGTTAGGGGTCTTTACTGTTTTTTTTTTTTCTATTCCTGCTCGACGACCTGACAAATGTACTTGTGCCTTGAGGATTATATTTAATTCATAATCCGAGTGTGTATGTTGATTTTACAGGCACATGTAGAATATGAAACTGCAAAGAGGCATTACGCTCACGTAGATTGCCCTGGGCATGCTGATTATGTTAAAGTGAGACGGGAAGAGTTTTACTTATGTCTGCATTTTATAGTATTTCCTTTTTCAATTTATTTTGTTAGTTTTGATATTTTGAGATATGTTCTTTAAGAGACATTATGATATTCATAGAAAAGAAAATAGAGACAATGAGAATTGTTTTGGTGCCGCGATCAGAGGCCTAAAGTTTTGTTGCTTAATGGACAAATTGGAGGGGTATAACTTCACCACGACTTAACTTAATGCAATTATTTCACTGACTATACCATTCCAGCATATTCATATGCGATCAAAGAAAGCCCTTGAGCTAACTCGGAGGTAACAAATACAGCTGAACCATTCTACACTGAACCATTGTTTTTCTTAACTTCTACTCCTCACCACATTCTTCTTCACCGAAAGGCTATCGGGAAGGATGGAAAGTTCCATTACACGTGACAGCCAATTTTCCGACCAACCAGCATATTCTTGTTTTTAGGGCCGTATCTTTTTTCACCATTACTCCTCCATTACTTCTTTTGGAGTCTTTCGCAGACCCTCCCCATCACCATCCGCTTCTCCCATAACGACACCTTCCATCATCGTTTCATCTCGTTCATCTTATGGTCCTCAAGGTGATTAGTTAGATTTTTCCGAGGAAGGTACTCGATTGCTGATTGTTGGTTAAGCTTCAATAAGTTACTGGACCAGAAAACTTCAGTCAGTGATAACATTTTCTACGGAATTTAGACATTTTCTTTTCTTCTTATTGGTCTTGGCTCTCTGCACACAGTCCACTTCCATACCCGTATTTATACTTATAAGCAAAGAAAAGAACAGAAACAAGAAAAAATATGGTCCATCTTAGAAATCTGAAGATGAATCTTATGTGACATGTTGCCTATGTCACCTTTTTTCAGATTGAGTTGTAGTCAGTTGTTTGTAAAACATAGCTTCACTAAATGTTATATACCAAACATTGTTGATCATGTTCGATGTGGATACTCCTATAATTTAGTTTTCCATCCATTTTCATCTTCAATGCAGAACATGATTACCGGAGCTGCTCAAATGGATGGGGGTATTCTTGTTGTATCTGCCCCAGACGGACCAATGCCGCAAACTAAGGAACACATTTTACTTGCTCGCCAGGTTCTGAATTTGACATAGATTTTGACTTACCGAAGCTTGTGGCAAACATTAGTAGATTTGCTCATCTATTTTGGTTTTGTTTACAACCCTTCTCTTTTTGGTGCAGGTGGGTGTGCCCTCACTGGTGTGTTTCCTCAATAAAGTTGATGCTGTTGATGACCCGGAGCTGCTGGAACTTGTGGAAATGGAGCTGCGAGGTAAGATGAATTTAGAATATAGTTTGGACCCATTTCTTTCTGATGGCCCCATTTTACACCACTTCGTTGTACCTGCAGAATTGCTTAGCTTTTATAAGTTCCCTGGAGATGACATTCCTATTGTCCGAGGATCGGCTTTATCTGCTTTGGAGGGTTCAAACGAAGAAATTGGAAAGAAGGCTATCTTAAAGCTAATGGAAGCTGTAGATTCATACATTCCTGATCCCGTGCGTCAACTTGATAAACCCTTTTTGATGCCAGTTGAAGATGTTTTCACCATTCAGGTAACTAGACTTGTGTTTGTATGCCCTCTTGCAAATTTTCGGTTTCTTTCTTTGTTTACTCATTAATGTTACTTACATGTATTTTGTTTTTCCTCCCTTTGAGATTGGTAAGGCGGTTGTTTACTGATTTTTGGATGATTCGTATAGATTGATTTCTTGAACATCATGGTCACAGAATAATTTATTCTTTCGAATGGTGCTGAGATATGTAACTTTTGTTTAGTGTAGTATATCTTACCAATACTGTTTTCTAACCCTTGAGTCTGATATTTGTAATCTTGCCATTTTGAAGGGGCGTGGTACAGTTGCAACGGGCCGTGTGGAGCAGGGTATAATCAAACCAGGAGAAGAAGTTGAAATTTTGGGACTTTCACCGGTGAGTATATGTCATGGTCATATTTATTCGGTTCATTTGTATTCCATTGCCTGCATTATGTTGGGAATTAACATCTGAATGAACATATTATCAGCTAAATATCGATCCATCTTTTGTATGTTTCAAATAGTAATTCTGTGTTTATGTGCAGTAATATAGCTTGATTTTTTATTTTTTATTTTATTTTTTTATTATTACCTTACCACATTGGATTCCTTATATTATGCACGTCTCCTTTTGCTACAGACCAAACTTAAAACCACAGTAACTGGTGTTGAGATGTTCAAGAAAACTTTGGATTTTGGCCAGGTAAGGGCTTTGGTTTCACATCACCCTTTGGTAATATCTATAAATTATCATGTTAAAAAAAACTTGGTTGTTTGCCAGGCTGGCGACAATGTTGGTCTGCTTCTACGAGGCTTGAAACGTGATGAAATCCAACGAGGAATGGTTAGTCTAGCTGATCAGAATATGTTAAAATATAAAATATTTGAGAGGAGAAGAATTAAAATTCAAGATAAAGATTTTTTTCTTTTTTTTTTTAAATTTTTTGAAATTTGCATGCATCATTTCCATACACAGGTAATTGCAAAAACCGGTACACTTAAAACATACACGAAATTCGAGGCAGAGATATATGTCCTCACGAAAGAGGAAGGTGGTCGCCACACGGCCTTCTTCTCGAATTATAGACCTCAATTTTACATGAGGACTGCTGATGTCACCGGTAAAGTCGAGTTGCCTGAAAACGTGAAGATGGTTATGCCCGGAGACAATGTAACAGCTGTTTTCGATCTTATCTATCCCGTTCCTCTCGAAGCAGGTCCACTATATAGCTTATTATTTCTTATATCTGCTATTTTGCACAAATATTATCAAATATTTCCTTATTTATCACGATGTATGTTCTTCTGTTTCGACAGGACAAAGATTTGCCCTGAGGGAGGGTGGCCGAACTGTGGGTGCTGGAGTCGTTTCTAAAGTCATTAGTTGAATAAATTAAATGTTCGTGTGAGTTTGACGAGATTGTTTTTGTTCAGACACGGGTTAGTTAGTTGTGTTTGGTTCGAATGTTGCTGGAAAATATGATGTGGGCACAGTGAATTCACTTGTCTATAAAGTTCTCTCCTGTATTGTTGGAAAAAAACTTTTTCAATGTTCAATCTTCAATCTTCAATAACTAATTTTGTAGTGCATTGTTTTGTTTGTCCCTACTACTTGCTCTGCCTTGATGGATTTAATCATAGTATCACTTAATTGTGGACTTTGTCCCCAATTTTATATTTGTATTCTTGGTCTTTCATTTACAGGTTATTCAGCATGAAAAAAAAAAAAAAAGGAATTATGCATAAACAAGATCCCAAAAACAGTTTATCTTTCAAACAAAATTGGTTTAATGTTGACAAAACTGACTCAAAATAGGCACAAAACAATAATTCAAGGACAACAAAAGAACATAAATCTACTTACAATTACAATACACATCAATACTTTATATGTTTTCATCTCGAATTTTATCAAGCCACCTTCAACACCACAACAGCCATCAATGCAGCTACTCTTAAGTAAATATCCTTCAAATTTCTGTCAAGATCACCCATCATCATCTCATCTTCTTTCTCACCAACCTTACCAGAACTCTTGCTAATAGTTATAACCGTAATCCTCAGTTTATTCACGGCCCACGAGAGCCAAACGAGCCCTAGGCCCAGCCCAGTACTCAAAACCTTTGACGAACAAAAGGGCACTCGACTACAAGCAACCCTGCATAAAGCAGATAAAACGACTGCAATTCCTGCTCCGGCTATACTGGCCGATAATTTGGTCAAAAAATGAGTCAACTGAGAGCCCGATTTTTTCAAGGAGAGCAATGTGTTCTTTCCTTTTTGCTGTCGATCGACTATGACGGATAAAAGGCTTTCGCATGCATGAAGATAGCTATTGTTGTAGACCTCTCTCTCTTTTACGGACTTGCTGTTGGTTTTCTTCTTCTGTGGTGCCTTTTCCTTCAATTTATAAGGGCTAGCAAACCAAAATAATGGGGAAAATGTGTAAGAACAAGGATTGTTATAATCTAAAATATTCTATTTAGTGATGCTTTTTTCTTCCAAAATAGGAATGTAAGTACGATTAAATGATTTGGTTGCAACTGGAAGATATTTCAAATACCATTTCATTGAGCAGTAGTAGTAGCTGAGTAAAAGAACAAACTTTTCCAGCCAATAAGAATTAAATGCTGGCGAAAAAAAAAATTGAAATCGAATCAGTTTGAAGCTGAAAGTCGAATTTTCACCTCTTTAGGACAGCTGTCTCGGTTGCAGAGACCTTTGATGCATCCGTATTGACGCGTGCTCTTCTCCTCCTGCAAAATGAAAATGAAAACAAAAGTTTCAAATCGGAAAGTTACAGTTTTGCATATTATTATGGGCAATTAAATACCGGAGTTTAAAAAGATATATGAGGAATATAATATATAACACAAATCCTTTTGCATGCATGACTTGAATTTATAATGGCATATAACAACTGAGTATATCGCTAATGCTCACCACTCACTCACACACTAATCAGCATCGAACAAACTAATAAATGAACATTAAAAGATATGAAAGTAAAAACGAAGCTGATACCTCTCAAAGTAAGGGACCAGCAGTGTCTGGCTACTAGACTTAGTTGTATTCTTGAACGAGGAAATTTCGGTAATAATTGAAAAGAAGTCACTCATCTCAGTGCTAATACAATTACACGGTACTTGTCCTAACAAAGGCTCGTTGAGGCAGAGTTCCCTTGTTGGGTGTATAAGATCGTGCAAAAGCTGGCCATCACTAAAGCACAATGAGGAGAAAGAAGCAGCAAAGGCATGCTGAGATAAATCCTTGATTGGTAATCTAAGTCCTGTCAGACCATTCAGCACGGATAAATCGATCGAATCGCCTTGTTCCTCAATCGATTTGGACCCCAGAAGCTTCAGGATCTTTTCGAGCCTGGCATAACGTTCGGCAATCCCGAAACTTAAGGCTGCTGAATCTGGATATGAATCTGTCTCTAGTAAAAAAAAATAATAATGAGCCAATTATACAATTTTACCTCGTCCAAAAGAAAATATTTGAACGAGCAATAGAGATTAAGAAGGATTACTCTTAATCCATACTCAAAATGTAACTTAATTTTAACTCAACTCAACTATCCTCAATATTACCAATATAATTAAATAATATCAATCAATCATTCTTACACATCACATCATCTTTAATTTACTATTAACCCACTCACATAATTTTAACTAACTAATCACTTCACATTATCCCCTCCCACTTTCACATCAAATTAACTTTAATTATTTTATTTTAAATAGTTTGTCCATTGCAAATGGAGCTGGAAGAGTCATTGTTGACAATTCTCCTGACATAGTGCTTGCTAATAATGGACTAGATCAAAATGGCTCAATCAAATTCTAGTGCTTCTTCTATTAGTGAAGTTTCTAGAAAAAAAATATATCAAACGACGCAATGCACCTTGGGTCGCTACGGAAACAGCCTCCTTGTATAATTACATGGGTAAGGTCTGCGTACAGACCCCCAGACCCCAACCAGTTAGAATATATTGGGTATGTTGTTGTTGTATTTTATTTTAAATAGTATTTTATTACAAAGTCAAAACCCACAAACTACTAACCATACCACCTTTTAAACTCTGGTTAACCAAAAAACCTCATTTTGAACGGATATATTTGTATCCAAACACGATATGCTTCTTTTGTGAGAATTGCACATTCTTAGGAAGGATTAAACCTCACAAGTGTGTAAGGCAATCTCTCACAAGCAAGTAACTAAAGTTTGAGCAAATATGCCTTTCTCTTCTCATAACTATTTATATAGCTGCACATTATCACAAGGTAAAATTTAAATAAATTAATCTAAATTTAGCAAAATAGAAAAAATCTCGAGGTATGTGAACCTTGAATTTCAGCGAGTATAGGCCTTTTGGAGGTCGAGTCAATCGTGACGAAGGGATTAGAACCCAGCAACCCACCATCAGATCTTAGCTCTTCTTTTTGCTGCAGACTTAAGTTAAACGAGAAGGGATGAACCAGTTCTTGGTTTGGGCCGTGATAGGGAAGGAAATGGTGAAAGTCCTGTTACACGAGGAGAAAAAATAGATGAAATAAATGGAAAATGGAAAGGAACTTTAAACTGAGGAACTTCTGTGCTTGATAGCAAAGTGACATCCCAAGACTTGTTCACTTTGCCTTTCAATTAAGCTATTATTTCTTATCTGTGTTCGAAATTTAAGCACAAAA